CCAGACCTCACAAGTGTCAGGAACAGCACACACACACACACACACAAGAATGTTTGCAGGCCAAGAGGATGTCCACTCCCCTAGGCTGTAGCAAGCTCATCAGTGCCCAGCCACTGCTCTAGACAGACCTCCAGGGATCTAGACTGAGATGGCACCCCCAACCATGGGGAATCCCAGCTGGTACGGCTTCAGGCATTCAGCTGCAGGAGCAAGTATTCTCTAGACCAGTGCCGCCCATCCAGTTTCCTTGCTTGAAGCCCTAGTGTTCTGGAGATCACCAAGTTAGAATGCAAATACCAACCCAAAAGCAGCAGAAATGACTGTGCCTGAGCTGGGCTTCTGCAAACCAGAGTGCAGGGACACAAGATGGGGACCTGAGATGGCCCAGTCAATAAAACGCTTGTATTACAAGCAAGAGGTCTCAAGTTTGATCATCAGCACCCACATAAAAACCAGGTGTACCCCTATCGTTCCAGCTGTGGAAAGGCAGAGGCAAGAAGACTCCTGGGCTTGCCGATCAGCAGGTCTAGCCAAGTCAGTGAGCTAACCAAATCAGTGGAAGACCCTGTGTCTTCCCTGAATCGCCTTGAAACCAGGAGCGGCTGTTCTTGAGGGAAGAATGAGACTGGGAGAGTGAAGGGGTAGCTCAGAGACTTGAGACCTCACTGGCTACGTGCCCTGTGGAGTACACAGCCAGTGAGATATATTCTGGGTGCACATTTTACAAGTGAGGAAAGTAAGGTTCAGAGAGTCTGTCCAAGGTCAGATGAACACGGTAGCTCAAGCCTGTAATCTCAACACTCAGCAGGACGAAGCAGGAAGTTTGCCACGAGTTCAGGGCCAACCTGTGCAACATAATGAGTTCTAGCTTAATCTGTAGAGGAAAAGTTCAGGCAGACAGAGAAGGACCAGTGGGCACTCACATCACAGCCCCATGTTCCTGGTCATCCCATAGGACTTGCTCAGTTGGTTAAGTGGGGACTACTAGGAATCACCTGTGGTCAACAGGGCAAGCATCCCTGCTGTCCAGGAATGGTGCCATGGTGAGACCCATACATCTTTGCCTTTATAACACCAGCGCACACAAAAACTCCATCTTGAGAGTTACTAAACGAAAGAATGAAAGGCAGGCAGGCTGGACTGATCTGTTGGAATGACTAGTGCTCCCTCGGGGAAGAAAAACAGAGAGAAGAATCTTCCGGGAGGCTATTGGTGGTACTGTGCACACCCCTTCCTGACCTCCACCTTGAACAGCACAAAGCCCAGTCCAGGACAAACCGGCAGGCATTTCCTGACCTGTCCTCACTGTCAAGGAAGAATCTAGAATTTTCAGGGTTCTAAAGGCCGGTATGTTTTCTCTCCCAGCCTCTCCACGAGATGCTTGGCTGGAGTTCGAGAATAATCCTTAGAGGATAGCAATCTGAACTGACCACTTGCTTGCCAGGGCATAAGCAGGCCCCATCGTTTACTGTCCTCAAGAGCCAGTAAAGAGGGGACTAATGTCCCTCCATTCGCAGAGAGGTAAACTGAGGCTAAGCAAATGATGTGAATGGTAAGCATCTAGCTCTTGGTTCCCACACCCACTCGTGGTTCACCAGAAGCCTCTTGCTCAGGGGTTGCAGGACAACTCCTGAGAGTATGTAATCTCTGGTGCTTGGTGATTTCCCAGCAAGATTTTGGGGGAGTGGACTGTGGGCCAGTGGAGGCTGGTGGCACGCAAGCCAAGCTGGCTGGGGAGGGTGCCTGTGTTGATATGGGGAGCTTCCCCCACCCCGACCTGCAGCCTTGACTCAAATCAGGAGGAAGTTGAGGGTTCGTAGAAAAATGTCACCCATTATCAGGGACAAACCGGGTCTGCCTACTGTAAGCTGCTGCTGTCACGGAGTACAGTGTACTCAGGGCCAGCTGCTGGCCTGCTACCTGCGGAAGCCCACTGGTCTAGGACAGGAGTGGACAGAACCCAGACCTTCAGGAAAGCAAGGTCAGGTCAGAGGCTCCGGGCCTCAGTTTCTCTAAATAGCCCAGAGACGATTACCTGGAGGCGGTCCCGTGCAGCTGATTGAGCTCTGAGGTGTCATATCTCCTCCAGGACCCAGCCACCTGCAAGTTCTGGGCAGTGACACTTCCCCTCTTTGGGCCTGAACTTCCTTGGGGGGTGGGGGTGCAGGGGTGGGGCCAGAGACTCCCAAGCAGCTCCCAAGTTAACCTGTTTCGCTTGGGGGCTCTACCTCTGGGGCATAGAAAGGGTCCACACCCCTCTGAGTAGTATTAGAATGTTGGGCAAGCAGAGCGAATTCCCACAAAGGGGGTCCACTCTCTTCTGTCCCCTTAGGTGCACACTCATCTAGCTTCTCACAGCTGACATCCGCACAGGAGCAGCAGAGAGCTGTTGAGGGCATCACAGGGACATCCAGCACTTTTGGTTTAGGACAGAGCAACACTGGCCAGAGAGGAGAATGGTGGTGGAAGGCTTCATAGTTAGACCATGAATGTGATCCAGCCTGGGCTTATGTCACACCCACACAGGTGTCTTCTGGAGTCAGCAGGTAACTCCCTGTGGCCCTTCTTCAAAGGAAGGCTGAGCCAGCCCCGCAGGGTATGCAGCGTGGAGCCCTCACACATCCCAGGCAATTAGGAAAGTTTGGCTGACATGCAGCCTGGTACTGCAGCTCTTGTGCCAGAAGGAGCCTGGGGGGACCTGGAGTATCAAGGCAAGGCTATTTTTACAGATCATGCGTGCTGTGACTTTCATGTGTCTACAGGAATAGAAACTCCTCAAGGTGGGTCTGGGTGATTCATACCGGTACGCGGGTGCTCCCTGCATAAATATCGGCTTCCGTGGGAAGCAGGGGTCCTCCAGAGCTCAGGTTCCCACTGTTCTGTGACAGCCATTCCAGGCCTTACTATCACTGATTTGATAACCCAAGGCTATGCAATGGTAACACCAGGCCCCGGATTCAGCTGCTGTCGGAGTTGAGACAGAACCCGGAGCTGAGGGGCACCTTCAATATCTCCAGCCACACCCTCTCCAGAGCCTGGCAGGGCAAGGCAGAACACCTAGACCTGAGCAGCAAAAACAGGGCAGCCAGGACCTTGACAGACAGGAGCCATGCAGAGGTCTTATACCCACCGTGTTGTCCAGAGCCTAGATCTGGAGACCCAGCAAGGGGGTTCACAGGGCCCTGCTGCTCCTGAAAAAACAGGGCTCAGAGCTCACCCACCTCCTGCTTTTGCGTCTCTCTCTCTCTCTCTCTCTCTCTCTCTCTCTCTCTCTCTCTCTCTCTCGTGTGTGTGTGTGTGTGTGTGTGTGTGTGTGTGTGTGTATTGGGGGTGGGGGGCAAGACCTCATGTACCCCAGGACTGTATTCACCTCACCATACAGCTGTGACTATGGGTGTGTTCCATCCCACTCCACGTATTTAAAAAAAAAAAAAAAAAGAATATGACTTGCTGTTGCTTGCTATTTAAATGTTTAAATGCATGGTCGTGAGCCAAATATACACATGAAGACATTTAGTAAAGTTATGTAAGTTGTCACTCACTGTCCCCCTCCCCTCGGTGCTCTGCAAATTCTGGGAAGATGGAATGTCCAGCAGAGAGCTGCACACGGCCTGCCCATAGCTCAGAGCCCTCTCTCTGGCTCCCCCATGCCTCTAAGACCCGAAAAGTCACAAATAAAAAACTTTCTTGGGGATCCCCTAAGCCTGGGATCACTACCTTGATCTACCCTACCTTCTTATCCCTAAGAGCAAGCTAGAAGCTTTGGCTCCTGGGGTGGGTTCCTGCCTCCTTTCAGATGGGGGCTCTATAGGGATGATACCGTAGCACATACCTCCAACTCCATCAAGTGCATCAGGCATCAAGAGAGCTCCAAGAGGCAGCTCCTTCTAGGGCAGAGAGCAGGCCCTTGTGACTACTTGCCAAAAAGCTACTCCACGAACCACATCCTCTCCTGACGCTGCTCCATTCACCCTTCACTTCAGCCATCAGAGGCCCAGCACCCACTCTGAGGGCAGACTTGCCCATGCAGGGGCTTACGCTGGGCCAGGCAGGGGGGCAGGAAGCAGGGCAGGACCATGTGGGGGAGAAGCCATAGGCATAGAGAACAGCTCAAGTGGTCTTCTCACACCCACGGGTTGTTTGACATTCAGAAAGGCCAGGGGTGGGGCTGTCTCCGAGGACAAGGTGTCTCTGTGTAGCTGAGATCCAAGGATCACAGGGAATAAGGACAGAAACTAGAAGCCACTCATCTGGGAGTAGGGAGCCACTCAAAGACTGAACAGAAACATCATATTGGAAGTTGACTGACAAAAAGGAAACCTCAAATGTCCCTCCAGCTCTTCTCTGAATCTCTGCTCTGTGGACAGGGCAGCTCGGGGGGCTGGTACAGATACTGTCCTAGGGGCAGGAGCCCTAGGGGCAGGAGGCAGGTTAGGGTAAGGGAAGTGGCCGTGCTGAGAAGGAATTGGGACAGGAAGCGGGAATGGGGTGTCTGAGAGAAGGTCGCAGGGTCAATCAGAGGCAGCCTGGTTCTTAAGCGAGCCCAACTAGCCAAGAGTGGCCAGGCCCCTTGAGCCTCTGCTTTGTGACTTCTCCCAGCCAATGACTTCCTCATCTTTGAACTGGGGTCACAAGTTCATTCAATCAACAATCACTTGCTGATTACCTATCGTGTAGCCTGTGCACAGCCTGTCCAAGACAGACAGTAACACCTTTCTCAACCCTGGTGAAAGCAGACAGAGTGAGAGGGCGAAGACCAACACCTAGACACTTTGTCCCCACAGATGCCATAGGCTGCCTTTGTCTCCCCAAAGAGTCTGGCTGAGGTAAGGAGCGGTGCTGATAACAGTGCCATCCGGGTTAAAGCTGCCACGGGATGCCGACCCCAAGGGGAAGCCTCAACAGAAAGGGGGAGGCAGGGGAAACCAAGGAAGGGGAAATAAGGGGAGGACACATGGGCTGAGGGCCCTTTCTATTCACACAGTAGCTGCTTACCTCACCTCTGCTCCAAGGCCCAGGCTTGGTCACACTTCTGCTCCCAAGCCCAGATGATTCCCATGAGTGGTCACACAGCTGGCGAGTCCCCAACCTTGGAGGCTTGACCAAGCCCCTGAGGGAAGTTCCCTTTCCTGCCCTCCACGTGGACCTCATTAGCCACCAGCAGGGGCCGGAGATGTCCAGCCTCCTGGAGAGTGGTCACGTGTGCAACTCAGAGGGAGCAAGTGTCAGATAACTTCAGGTCAAGGCAGGGACAGCAGCAGCTCAGAATACCCCTCTCCCTCCTCCCACTTCCTGGAAAGTTGACTGTGAGCTCGAAGGAGGAAGTTCTAGGTGCTCAGACATCTGTGTGAGACCTGTCTGCCCTTCCATCGTGATGGTAGCCGGACCTCTCAGAGGCTCCTGCCTCTTTCCTTCGATGTACTGGTCCAGGCTATGGTGGGGTCTGGATTCCCCTGAGCATGCAGATGCAGACAAAGGTCATTTTTCAAACTAATGGTTGGCCTGGTGCTGAAAGTCCACAGTATCCAGAAGGGGCCCTTCACTAGGAAGGTTCTGGAAAGCACAGACTCCAAGGCTTCCCTGCTGCTGAGTTCAGGGAATCCTGTGCTTTATGCTGTCAAGGTCCCCACGGTGGGAGGGAAGCCCACCAGGCCCTTGGGCACCTCCTCTCCACCCACTGCATGAAGCCTCCAAACATCTGACAGACACTAAGCGAACGCTCTGCGTTAACACCACTGGCTTTATCTTCTTCAGCTTCTCCCAGTGCTAGCTGAGGGATGTCAGACTCCAGGTGAAAGAGTCCTGGGTTGGACCAGTGGCTCTGCCATCTATGCTAATGTAGCACATTTTCTCATCTCTGATGCCACCTCCCATCTCCTTGACATTACTCAATGTCACAGCCACCAAGCCACTTTTTTAAAAGGTTTATTTATTTTACATGTATGATTACTTTGCTTGCAAGCACAGATATGTACAGCACACGTATGCCTGGTCAAATGATCCCTTGGAACTGGAATTGCAGACAGTTGTGAGCTGCCATGTGGGTGCTGGGAATTGAACCCTGGCCCTCTGGAAGGGCAGCCAGTGCTCGTAAGCGCTGAGCCATCTCTCTAGCACCCCTCCCCACAGTTTATTTGTGAACAGGCTCCTTGGCTGTCCTGTGACTGTGTTGACCTCACAGAGATCCTACCTGACTCTGTCTCCCAAATGCCAGGATTAAAGATGTGTGCCACTATGCCTAGCTGCCCAACTCATTCTTGTTTATTTCTTACGCACATGGAGGATGGAGCAGGTAAGAAGTCTATTCAAAATATGTAATTTCTCTTTGTGATTCTGTTGCATAGAGAGAACTATGTCGCCTCCCCCGTATGCCCATCAGAGTCGTGTTCCTTCATGCCTCAGTTGTTAAATTTCCATCCCTGGTTACTGTGAGCGTTGAGCATTTGTTCCCTCTGCATCCCTTCCCACCCCTCGTCTACACTTCTACATATTACTTTGGTTTTGTTGCACAGAAATCACTAATTCTGTTAACAATAACTCACATGTTTGTTTTCACAAAGGTTTCTTTCCCTTGGGCTCTTTACTAACAAGAGCAGCTTCAATCTTCGCTTTACTGTGATCAGACACCAAGAAAAGAATCTTCAGTGAAAAAAGGATTGACTTGGGCTCACAGTTTCAGAAGGTTTAGTCCATAATCACTTGTATCCACATTTCTGGACCACAAGGCAGAATGTTACAGAGGTGGGACTGTCTGGCATGAGCTTTTCAGCTCACAGTGAACAGGAAGCAGAGAGAGGAAGAGACCTGGGTCCCCATACAACCTTCAAAGGCAACATCACAGGGTGCTGCTTCCTCTGCCTAAGTTCCACCTCCCCAAATAGTGCCACCTTCTGAGGACCAAGTGTCCCCCACAAAAGTCTAGCAAACTCTCACTTCCTTTTGGGTATCTTTGATATAATCTTGATTTTTTTTTTAATCCTGGGGTAGAGGGTAGGAATCATTTTCCAATACCAAGAGCCAGACAGTCAGAGCTGTGGGAGATGTCCTGCGTCACTGCCCTGAGAGCAGTATGCCAGTACATACTCCCTGTTCCAGATGTACCCACCTCTGCTCTCTCTGATGTCATCATCTTCCCAGTCACACCTCACTCCAACATTGTTTAATCTTCATGTGCGCCCATAGTCACCTTGACTACCCAAGGAGATGTCATTGAGGATGACAGCTCCCTCACCACTTTACATGTCCTAAGGATTGGCCAACAGGCTATGACTTTAAAAAAAAAAAAAAAAAAAAAAAAAGTCAGTTAATTTTCCACACCAGCTAGGAGGCAAACACCATAGCCATTTCCAGAGAAGGAAACTGAGGTAGAGAGAGCTCCAGTAACAGGCCTAGATATGCATCATGTATGTGATGCAGAGCCAAGGTTTGGATCTTCTCAGACAATGGTGTCTGAGAATCTACAAGTTTATCTGTCGGGCTCAGTGTTGAGCACAGCCTGTACTGAATCCTTCCCAAGCTGGAGGGGGCAGAGCTGACAAGCATCCCTAATCTACAGATGAAGATCAACTACTTGCCTAGGATACCCACTCAAGCAGCTAAGCACTCTGCTTGGTTGTAAGCCAAGGGAAAAGAAGTTAATGCAACAAAGGTGTGTGTGTGTGTGCATGTGCGCGTGTGCACACTACTCACAATGTGTATGTGGAATTCACCTAAGTGTCCAGCAACAGATGAGTAGATAAGAAAATGTGATACATATCACACAGTGGAAAACTATGGGGTCTTAACAAAGGACAGATCCCACCAAGTATGGTGGTACAAATTCGTAATCCAAGCACTTTGGAGGTAGAGGGAAAATGATTGAGTTCAGGATCATTCTTGGCTATTAACAAATTTGAGACTAGCCCAGGCTATATGAGACCCTGAAAGAGAGAAGGGTTGGGGAGGAGAGGAGACTGGAGAGATGACTCATTCAATAAAATGCTAGCCATACAAGCAAGAGGGCCTGAGTTAGATGCCCCAGAAGCCGCATAAGAGAAAGAAAGAAAGGAAGAAAGGAAGGAAGGAAGGAAGAAAAAAAAGAAAGAAAGGAAGGAAGAAACGAAGGAAGGAAGAAAAAAGAAAGAAAGAAAGAAAGGAAGAAACGAAGGAAGGAAGGAAAGAAGGAAGGAAGGAAGGAAGGAAGGAAGGAAGGAAGGAAGGAAGGAAGAAGGCATGCCGTGTGCACCTGCAATCCAGGCACTGGGATGGGGAGAGCAAGATGCCTGGGGATTGCTGGTGGGTCAGTCTAATCCTAAATCAGCGAACCCTGGGGCCAGCGAGAGATCCTGTCTCAAACACTAAGGTGGAGAGCGACTGAGGATGACATCTGAGGTCACTCTGACCTGCATGCGGATGTACACACAGGAGCACGTGAGCACAAACATGGAGAACACGCTGACACAGAGAGAAAGAAGAAGGGGGGTGGAGAATCTTGTGACTCACGTATGAGTGTGTGAGTGGAACTGGAGAGCATTCTGGTAGGTGAAAAACAACAACAAACAGGCATGGAAACACAAACGTCACATGATCACACTCACAGATAGAGTCTGAACAGGCAGAGAAAAGGCTGACTGGCAGCTGGGGAAATGAGGAGCAGGGATGGGGAGAAGTTGGTTGGGTGAAAGCTACGCTGTATTGTTTGTCTTGTTTTTTGAGACAGGGTTTGTGATGGTGTGGATAAGAGCCCCGTAGGGTCATAGATTTGAATGTCACTAGGGAGTGGCACCATTAGGAGGTGTGGCCTTGTGAAAGGAAGTGTGTCACTGGGGAAGGGGGCTACTTTAGGATTTCAAGTGCTCAGGCCAGGCTCAGGGTGTCTCTCTCTGCCTGATGCCTGCTGATCTGGATGTAGAACTCTCTCATCGACCTTTCCAGCATCATGCCTATCTGTGTGCTGACATGCTTTCCACAACATAATGAACTAAACCTTTGAAACTGTAAGCCAGCCCCAATAAAATGTTTTTCTTTATAAGAGTTGACATGGTCATGGTGTCTTTTCACAGCAGCAGATCATTGACTAAGATAGAGTTTTACTACCCAGCCTGGAACTCACTATGTAGACCAGGCTAGCCTAAAATCATAGAGATCCTACAGCCAGTGCTTCTGTCTCCCCAAGTGCTGCGGTAAAGGTGTGTGTTATTATACCCAGCCCATTGCCATTCTGGTTTTGTGTTTGGTTCCTGCCATTTCCACCCCTGGCACTGGGCATGGAACCCTTGGTATTTCCATATAAAACAAATCAATCACCAAGCTACATTCTCAGCTCTACTCTATATTTCTAGATAGTGAAAAGAGATTTTTATCACAAAGAATCAGTATTTGAGATGGCGGACAAGACCTGGGTTTTATGGACCTGTACTAAAGCCTCACACAGAGCCCCGTGTCTGCACAGTTATGGTGTGCTGATTGCAAACTATTGAAGATGATGAGCAGCAAGCCAAACCTTGTCCACGTGTTGTCAAAGCTCTGATTCTACTCCACCATCCTAAGTCCCTGCTGTCACACCCTGGCCTCACAATGAAACCTACCCTCATATCTTTGGATTTCTGTTGCCATGAAAGACCATTACCAAAAAAGCAAGTAGAGGAGGAAAGGGTTTATTTGGCTTACACTTCCATATCATAGTCCGTCACTGGAGGAAGTCAGAACAGGAAGTCAAGCAGGGCTGGAACCTGGAGGCAGGAGCTGATGCAGAGGCCATGGTCTGATTGGTCTGATTTCCATGGCTTACTCAGTCTGCCTTCTTGAACAACACAGAACCAGGGATGGCCCCACACACAATGGGCTGAGCCCTCCCCCATTGGTCACTAGTTGAGAAAATGTCTTTCGGCTAGATCTCAGGGAGGCATTTCCTCAACCGAGGCTCCTTCCTCTCTGATGACTCTAGCTTGTGTCAAGTAAACACACACACCCAGCCAGAACACCTCACCTCTGCAGTTTAGTTCCCCATCCTATCAGGAACACAGTGGCGCCAAGCTCTCTCTCGAGCCTCCGTGAGTCTCAGGTCATCCTCAGGCTGGGTCATTGCCTCAGCCCTCTCCTCTATCCCACCCGCAGGCCAACAAGCCCCTGGAGAACACCCCAGGGCCTATGCAACCTCTCAAAATGAGTCGTGGTTCCAGAACCCCTTTCCTGGGGCTAGTGGGGGGCATCCCAGCCTCCATCCCACCCTAGGCATC